CAGCATTGCCACGCCACATTCTCCCTATCGAAATGGACAGCTCATCTGGGATGTACTTCACTGGCTTTTGTCAAGAGCCCAAAATTGGAAACACGGGTTCTTCAAACCATCGGGGTGAATGGCACAGTAAAACGAGAGTTAAAGAGACTTAACTCTGATGAAAGCCATTATATCTGCGATGGCCACTCCGATGGAGACCACGAGCTGTATCGGCATTTAGCAGATTTCAGCTCTGCAATAATGGGGTCATAAAGAGGTTATCCCCCCCCGCCCCACTGAGAAAGTGTGAGCTGATTCCAACCGCCTCTCTTAATTGCCACCCAGTCCTTCACCCGCCCCCTGACGGAGCCTGCTGGCCCTTATCTGCCCCCTGTGCAAACTCTGCCCCTCCATTCTCCTGCCTTTAGAGCAGTCACGCGCCTGCGCGGGCAGCCTGAGTCACGCGAAAGCCGCGTCACACACAAGCGCATCACTCCGCCTTGAGCGGGGGGGGGGGAGAGAAACCGCAAACATTTTGGAAGGGCCTCGGCAGAAAAACGCCCTTTCACCCTTACCTTCGTGAATAAAAACTCGAGCCTGCAGTGACGCATATTAGTGAGTGCGGGGATGTGGGTTTAGGCGGATTCTCGATGTGCGAGAGGTGAATCAAGGGGGAGCCAGGGATTATTTCGCCTGTGCGGCCGCGGAGGAGGATTGGAGAGGGAGGGGTCGTGAGGTGTCCAAGATGGCGGCGCCCTGTGGAGTGGAGCTGCTCTAAGAGGTAAACAGGTCCATTTAATTAATGAATTTCAAGATAGACGAGTACTTTTAAGGTTTTAGGAGACCGTGAATGCAAATTGTGTCTTATTGTTTAACTTCTTGTGCTTTGTCATCGCTGTCAGAGCTCTACTTAGTTTTATAAGCCTTTCAGGAGACGATATGAGAACCGTAAACAGCTTCATAATAAGTGTTTTATATGCATTTCCAGAGCGGGATATTAATGCGTTCATCTGAAAAGGTAATCGGATTCAAGAGAATTTACTCAATTATTATTGTCTTATTGAGTGGTTTGCGTCCTTAGTCATTTCAGATATCGGTAAACAGCGTTTCCACAGAAGTCAGGCGAACAAAAAAAGCTTAACCCCATAAAATAATCAGCGCAAACTTTCAGTTGCAGTGCACAATTCAACTTTTTTTGCTTGCTCATTATCACATATGCAACAGAAGTATTAGATAATTAATATTCAACTGCAATGTTATCATTTTAGATTAATGGTCTGAATAAGGAAAGGGATAGATTAATGCTTAACTTCTCTGCTGCAACAAACGTGCTTCGACTGCATGGACACATTTAATCAGATAATTTTACAGTTCAATATAATGTGCAGTGTACAACTTTCGTCCTGATGCGCTCAAACAGTCAATACAGTATCATGAAGTATTGCATTATGGATGTCTTATTTCCATACGCTGTTTACACTCTTCAGCACGGGGTCATTGCTCGGGAAGTTCATTAACTGCAGTGCAAATGTCGTCAAGTGCAAATAGATTTCAGCAGCACCTCTACGTTTTTAATTACCATGCTGCGCGAAAAGTGACTGACTGTTCGAACGTTTTCAAACTAAGTGTGTCCTGACTGTTGCGGTTTTGCTGTTCTGGTGTGTACTGGGTTTAAATGCACTAATTATAGTAATACTGAGTAATAGCTTTGCAGTTGAGATCCAATGAACGTTTTCACCATGTAGTAGTTTTCGTTTAGGGTTTACTACAATATAATATATTGAACTTTATTATTATTATTACGTGATTACAATGTAATATATTCAGCAATATTCCAACAGCAAATAAGGCTGTGTATATTAAACGTAGCTAAGTGTACATGTTTTGTTGAATGGCTAGGATTATTGTTTGTGTTTAACATGTTGTTTGAGTTTGTTTTTTATTGCAGTTATGCATGGTGAAGCTAAAGACACCCTTTTGGATGGATAAATAATTTTATGTGTGTTACCCCCCTTTTTCAATATAAAGTGAGGGAGTTCTTAGTTGTTTTTCATCAAAACATAGGCTAACAATGCTCTCTGGCTGAAATCCATCTTCTCCCTTTAGCATTGTGAATTACTGTATATACAATATGTTTGTGTAAAATCTGTGTGTTTTTTTGTCCATGTAATGATAGGGAAGGCTTCTTTACAAGATGTCCTGAGTGATTGACTGGAATGGTACTAGCTGCCTTTTAGGTTAGTGCGTTTTGAATTGCACCATTTAATTGGTTTTGCACACAGGATTTACAGTTACTGTTAAAAAGAAAACATTAAGGCGTGTTCTTTTATGGTTTCCAGCATAAATCTCCTGGCCAAAGCGTTTTCAACTAGGACCCTAGGGCCTGTGTTGGTTTTAACTAACTTAAAACTGCCCCTAAGAAAGCTTGCACATGTCATGCGGAGTAACGAGAACTAACTGTAGGCATTAGAGCTGGTCTTTACCACCTCCTCTAGAGCTTTGCATGTACTGCCCTTAGGAACAATATCCTGCTTTTAGGAAAGCTGTGTTAGAATTGTGTAATGTAGGGTAGATTTTGTATTAATATCAAAGTATATAAATAGGGTTGTATCAGAGATGATTGATCTTTCTTTTATGTCCTTCAGACATTTAATTAATATTGATTTGTTTTCGATGTCATCGTTATCCAAAAGGAAAGTTGAGCTGGATCTGTAATTTTGTGTGTGTGAACCCATACCATACCAGAACCGTCATTAGAAAAAATAAAAAAATCATGGTAGAAGTTCCGCTAGATGTGTTAGAATCGAGGAGTAATAAATAAAATCAATTTCTCATTAAGTGTGGGAGCACCGTTTAATGGAATTTGAAATATTCCGTTGCTGCTTTAAAAATCTTAATGCTAAAGGTTCCTTATTTTACCAGTGTTGCAAATTCTGTTGGAAATACTTTGGGGCCCGTGCCAGGAATTGGATGCATGAAAAGGCCGTGCAGTGTTTTGAATCCGTAAGATGATTTAAAAGCTATGGCAAAGACAGGTCTTCTGTAGCTTTAGCTGTGGTTCCCCGGCTTTTCACAGAAAATCCTCTATGGGTAAAGTCTCAAGTACTAGAATGGGCTTCGTTTAAGCTTCGTTTTCTTCATGGGTCAATAGCTTGACCGAGTGTTCCTCATCTTGAATTGACAGGTGATGTGGGATGATCTGTAAAATGACTTGATTGGGCTGTCTGGGACCAGGGCTGGAGACCCCCGGGCGTCTGCCCCTGGGGGGCTGTCCCAATGGTGTAATGTAAACCCACCCACCCACAGGGAAGAAGGCTGTGGCCGGGGGCTTTGCCAGGGGATTTATTTATTCGAGGTTAGGAAGGTATTCCTGGAAAGTGTGTGCGCCTTTCACTCCAGCTGATCCTGTCTGTCATCCCCGTGCCCTGCAGCTGGGGCACAGCTCTGATTGAATCCCAGGCCGGTGCCCCAGTGCTAGGTGAACAGTCTGCGTTTTGGGGTTGGGACAGAACGAGGACAAATGCTTTTCTCTTTTTGATGATGTCAGATGCCGGCGTTGGTGCTAGTGTTGGTTGTATGTTTCGGGTGGTAGCAGGGCTCAACAATTGGTGAGTAACCAACCCTTTTAGACTTCAAGCTCATCAATGTGTACTGGTGTCGATATGACTGTTTACAGAGTTCTCCTTCAAAAATGGTTTGGTGCCAACAGCCGTCTCCCAAAATAATTTGCCATAATTTGTTTGTTTAAAACATTTCTCAGTGAAAATGTGTAAGATGGGCACAGGAGTGATTTATTTATGGGTGGTGACAGTTCTGAACCTATTAGGGCAAAAAATCCTTATCAATACAGCATTTGATCTCATTTGGCAATTAATAGATTGCCATCTGGTGTGTATTAAGTAATATTTTAAACATTTTAAAAGTTGTTTGTACATTGCAGAAGATGAAAAGGCAAAGTAAACTAAAGTTTATTCCAAGCTCTTTGATAGAATAACTGTGAGTAGTGCTTGACTAGTATTTTATTAAAATATTGTGTATTTGTTACTTATAGTTTCAGAATATTATGGTTTTTAGTTGGACTTGACATTTCAGTGTTTTTTTTAAAGTAAAACGAAAGCAATGTGACTCTTAAAGGCCGGCTCTCTACTGCAGTCAGTGTCCGTTTTGTGTTTTATAAGTCTGTTTTGATGGCACAGTTATAGAGTGGAATTTCAGTTCTTGATTAAAGTTAATATTTGATTATTTTGGTTAATTTTTAGATTAAAAGACATCTTAAGAAGATAGTGTTCGGTGTAGTTCAGCAATTCATCAGGCAATCCAAGAAACATTGTTTTGATATTGCCATAGACTCGATTATCTATATTAATATGGATACTTGACTGTAGTATAGAAAGATTTGTTGCTTAATCGTTTTAAGTAACAAGATTTTGGAAGATGTGCTGCATCCGTTTCACACCTGCTAAAAACATGAGTGACTGTTGCTGTTCTTGTAATCATGTCGATTTTTAGAAAGACTTGCACTTTGCTGATGTTCAGTAGATCACCAACGTGGTTTCGATGGGCTTCCATTCCAGATTTGCTGAAAGGGAACTCCGTGTTCCTTGAACATGTTGATTTCAGTCCCTCAGGATGTGTAGAAATCAAACATTGCTTTTGCATGCTGGTGCTCTACCTTGCCAAGCACAGCATACATTTTGCAGTGCTCTGCCTGTAATACGCTTAAACATTTTTGTGTTATATGAAGGATTATAATTCTGCATGATCTTTTGGTTTAGTACAAATAAACCACTTAACCATTAATTGAAGACAAATGTCAATATACTTATAGGTAGTACTTTGTTGATATCGGAGCTGCTTTGTGAAAAAGAGGTCCAGGCTGTTAAGTAACACTTCAGAAAACTGCATAGTCAAGGAGAAGGCAGACTTTGCAGAATTACCTGATTGGCTTGAGATTTATTCTCATATTTCAAAATGAAATCTTACAAGTTATTACGAATAAAAGTAATGGTATTGACACTTTACTTTCCCTTGTTTGTTTTTGAGAACTGACTTGCTTGTAATTGGGATAGAAGCTGTTGTTTCTGCATCCCTTAGAGTGATAGCATAAGCGTAGTTTTGTTGCAGAGTTTGCTGCTTGCTTCAGACTGAACAATGAATTAAAACAAATCTGGTTGCACATTGTGCTCAATTTTAAATGAAAGCTTTTAGGTCTAGTTGCGTTGACTTAACGTCTTTGTACACAGCTTAAGTAAGCACAATATGAGATGCATTTTGGCTGTGATGAACACAGAGGCCATTAAATATGCTACAGTTGTTGGTGATAGTCCTTCATTTTCTTATGAGCAAGGTTCCAGGAGTTGTTTTCTTTTTCTGTTAAACCGTGATATGGACACAGTGAGATTAAGACTCTGCATCTGTGAGTCTGCTGTGTGCAGGTATCCTGTTTACCCCTGCGAATAAACAATAAACAGGCAAATGAAAATCCTAATTGAACTTCTGCTCCTGGTATGTTTATAATGTTGGTATGTAAAAAAAAATCACAATATTCTCTCAATGAGGTCTTAAATTTAAGATTATCAAATGCTGTCTAGCCCTAATGAAATTTTGGATGGTGGTAAAGGTGTTTAATTCACATATGGATTCAATTACTTGTAATGCATTTGGAGAATCTTTGCACCAGATATTCATGTGTTTTAGCATTCTGTGTGATCATCTCTAAGTAGTGAGGAAATTCTCAGAGTTCCTGCCTTTTTTAATGGCAGTGCAGGTGGACATCACCGAGTCCAGAGTCTGGAGCATTCTGTAATGAGTGTTGGCGTGAACGTCCAGGATGAGTGCAGCCCACTGTAGCTCAACTATCTGTGGCTGCTCACGGTGTTGCTGTAGGCGTCTAAGGTTGTCACAGATTCAGGATGTTGAAATACTTTTTCACAGCAGCGCGCAAATGCCTGTTAAAAGGCGGTTGTGTCTTGTTGTGTTCTGTGTCCGGGGTTCGGCTCGCTGCAGGTTGTTGTGTTATCATGCAGCAGGAGCAGCATCTGAATTCCTTTCGGAGCAGACCGAGGAGCAGCAGGAGAACTGAAATGTGCTTAGGATTCTAGTGTTTCACTAGTGGCTGCTTAATCATTACGGAGTCCTCTTTGTGCAGTATGTTACAATAGGGAGCTAATAAGAAATGATGGGATAATATGGGTAAAATAAGAAGGTGTGTTTCATTGTCACTTGTGCTTTTGCCAGCGCCAGTCAGTTTTGGACTTGCTCCTCGTGGAGGGTGTGTGCGTCAGTGCTCATTGCGGTCTGCCTTCTCCTCTCCGTAGCGGAGCCTCGCGATCGTATCGGCAGGCGGCTCTGGGGTTCTGCCCGGGAGGACGGAAGGGTTTGAGTAAGACGACCCTACAGCCGGCGACGCAGACTCCAGCCTCATCCTCCCTGACGACATGGCCAGAGAGCAGCTCAACGTGGCAGATCTCCTCCCCCTGCTGGAGTCCTCCGACCTCCAGGAGCTGGAGGAGATAAAGGGCCTCATCAATGAGCACCTCCAAACAGGTCAGCCCGCCTGGGGCTTGTACAGTGCCAGCGAAGAGCCTTCTGCTTGGTTTTTGTTGCGTCCATCTCTACCTGTCTGTGCCTTCGACCGGTTCGAATAGGTTTTTTTTCCATTCTTGAGACTCAGTCGCTTGACTGTTTTGTGCTTTTGTTTACTCTGAAAGGGGAAAAAAAAAGAGGGCAGCTTTTAATTGAATTGTTTGGGGCCTTTTTTGTGTGTCTGACAGATCGAGGGTCTCTCCTCCTGAACAGTCTGGTGGATTGTTACCTGGAGACCAGCTCCCAGCAGGCTTTGCACATCCTGTCCTCTGTGAGGGAGCCGCATGACAAGGTGAGTGGACAGGACAGGCACTCCAGGGGGACGTCCAGGGCTCCCCTGCCTCCACAAGCTCAAGTTAGCAGCACTGACGTTAGATTCAGTTTTGTCACATGAAAACTAATTCATTTCATTCGGTTCAATGCATGCTTTAATGTGCAAAAAAAATTGTAATGGCAGGTAATTCTTAAATTATGACCTGTGGCTCATAGAGAAAATAATTGGGAAGTTTCAAACTATATCTCCATTTGTGCAGCAGATTTGCTGCTGTTGCTAGGGGAGGATAAAAATAGCCTCTCAGTTGTGTTTCCTGCAAGGTAACACAAAGACATAGGACATTGTTGCGAACAGGTTGTCTTGTACTTTGCCAGGTCTTTCTCGTTATCTCCATGGCACAGTCCGCAAGCATTATTAAAAACTGATCCGATTATTTTAGAGAGTGACGGGTCATGCACGTGAAATGTGAAAGCAGATCTTTAACACAAGTGCCTATTGTAGTGTAATTAAGTCTAATCCAAGACCATCTTTGACTTTCCACTATTCACTGACGGAAAGGTACAGCTATGCTCTAAGGGTGTTGATGAGCCCTTACGCGGTGGCAGAGAACCTGCCTCTTGTGATACTGCACAGTTGACATAGCAGGCTTGAAGGGAAGGCTGAACAGCCTGCACATACACAAGAGCGGCTCTAATTGTCTTCATCCTTGTGAGCTTCGTGCTGAACTTGAGAAATGAACAGGTGGATGATGGAACTTTCCTGCAGGCTTTGCACTAATAGCAATGAGTGGGTCTGTATGGAGCAGTGTGTTCACATGCAAAGGATAATGTTTGTTGTGTGTATGTCTAATTACAATATGATGTCTTTACAGTAGACCTGTGCATTTTTTTTAATAGCACTGAAAGTTTTCAAATATCTTTTTTTTTGGCTTGCTGTTTCCCTGTCCCACTTGCTGTATAATTTGAAAAAAACAATCGCTACGCATTCCTTAGTCACAGGAATGAGAGAATTGTGATTCTAGTATTTTTGGTTATTTAATGACTTGAATTATCTTTGGCCTCTGATTCATTCGCCGCACAGGAGTACAGATTACCCCACTTTCCTCTGGCGTTTCTGCATCATCAGGTAGTTTCAGCCTAATTCAACAAAGAATTGCCTTGCCGACTTCTGTTTTTATGCAGTACGCTGTCGAGGGTATGAGTGGAGCTTCTCAAAAGCTGTGTGATGAGTGTGTGTAAATATTGAATAGTTTTAATATGGCTAGTGTGGCGTCGTATTCTGTGTGCGCGCTTGCTGGTTGAACCGGTTGAGCTCTGTGCTGCAGCCCCTGCAGGCGTGAGCCTGGGTTACCTCTGTCCTGCAGCGCCGTTCTGGAGCCTCATGGCTTCCGCGGTGGGACTGGGGTTAATCGGTCGGTTTCCGGCGGGGCGTCGGCTCCTGCAGGCCCCTGGTGATGTCGCGCCTCCCCTCCTTCTGGCTCCTGGCCCCCCGTCGCTGCGGGGGATGAGTGGCCTTGCTGGTCGGGACGGAGGGCCCTTTCAGCCTTTCCCCCTGTTCCCGCGTGGGAGCTGGGGCCGTCGCTGGGAGCCGGGACATAGAGACCCAGTTGGGAAGGGTGATGGAAATGATGGGCGCGGTGCCAGGAGCTTGCCGGCACGCGATGCTGTCCGTGAAGGATGTGCCTCTCCGGTAGTTGGCACTGAACGGCCGTTATTTGTCACGCCTTACAAGATGAATGGCCTGAAGGTGGGCGAGTCTACACCTTCTCATTCCCCAGTGAAAAACACCCAGTTGGCTGATCTCATAGGGTGGGTCTAACAGAAATGGGTGATCGATTCCTTCTTTTTTTTAAAGAAGATAATATTAGTGTTCCACCTCTACAATTTCCTCTTGGAGTGCTTACTACTTGACCGTCTCCAGTCCAGCTTTGACTTGGCACCCTACACCGAAGCTGCTCTCGTGTTACTAATTCTCCTCAATCGACTCGTGCTGCCTCTCCCGTCTTAATCCTTCTTGATCTCGGCACTGTCCTCGACGCTGCTGGGTCACTCTTTTCTCCTGTCAACACCCGCTGGCCAGAAGGTCAGTCGTGAAGGCGTCGAGTTGCCCATTTATTTTAGTTTCCGTCCCCTGGGTGCGGAGGATTGTAAGAGATCTTAATGACAAGAACAAGCCATCTCTCCAGTCAGTGTTGGCGATTTTCCTTAAGTGATTCTGTCGCTGTTCTCCATTACTATTGGCCTCTGCCTGTGCCACATGACACCGTGTTCTCTGCCATGCATCGACAGCGTTAAGAAAAGTTTAATATTGTGAGAGCTGTGACATTCCCCTTCTCGGGATATCTTGTCCAAAGCACTCTGAAAATTCAGATGCACAGAAGCACAAGCCCTACCGACATCTGTCACATCAGTGGAGCTTCTTTGAGGAAGGCTGAAAGATTTAGCCTAAGCTGGTTCTCACTTTCTACAGTGTACGGTTTTTGTGCCGATTGTCCCTAAATACGCAGTGCAGTATTTTTTCATAATATACGTTAAGGTGACAGACTTCTGATTTTCCTTCGTCGGTACAAGTGAACTTTCTCGACGTGAGCCATTCGCAGAGAACGACAAGACGCCTGTGAATGGCTTGTGGGGAAAGGTCCTGTGTAGAGGTTCCAAGCTCGACGTGTTTGACAGTAGGCGGCGAAGTGAATGGGTTGAATCAAGTGGCAGGTCTTAGAGGGGGTTCAGTGGATGTGTTTGACGTTGGCAGCACCTCTTCGACAAGATGAACGAGTGCATGGCCAGGCCCTCCTGCCGTTTCCCTACTCTCACGCTGCTGGGCCACGTGATCAGGAAACAGCCGCCCTGGATCCACAAGATCTCCCGCACCCCGCTGCTGCTGTCCCTGCTCAAGTGTCTCAAGGTAAGAGGTCCCTCACTGGCGTAGGGCGGCTGGAAGCCTGGGGTTTTTGCTTTTGTTTTTTTTAAGCCCCGGGAGTTCCCCCTTCTTGATCAGGTCTCGCTGTCCAACTTTTCCTATTGCAGACGGATACGGACGTCCTCGTCCTCATAACTGGGGTGCTGGTGTTAATCGTCCTCCTGCCGATGATCCCGCAGGCTGGCAAACAGCACCTGAATGAGTTCTTCGATGTCTTCGGGCGACTGGCTGCCTGGAACCTGAAGAACCCAGGTTAGAGCTTGGGGATGCAGACTGAACACCCATCTGCCTTTAAATTACCCGATAAGCAGCCCCATCTTGAAAGATAGTGAAGTGAAACCAGAACATGTCTTCTGTTAACTGCTCTTGTTTTGTTTTGTTTTTTTCCTGCGGTTTCTAGTTTAAGAAAAATGGGAATATTAGTGTAAGATCACGTTTGCTTGTTTGGACCTTATGAGAACAAGTAAGCGATGCTCACTTTGCAGTTGTGCGTTCACCTTGATCTCGCGAGCGTCCTGAAAGCTGAATGACCTTGCTCAGCAGCTGTCATGTAGGAAGAACCAGTGACTGCTGACGCTGTTCCTCTGTTACAGGGCATGTCACCGAGGTGTACCTGATACACTTGCACGCCAGCGTCTATTCTCTCTTCCACCGCCTTTATGGCATGTACCCCTGCAATTTTGTTTCCTACCTGCGCTCACAATACAGTATGAAGGAGAATGTGGAGACCTTTGAGGAAGTCGTAAAGGTATAACTTTTTTGTGTGAATTGCCATAAATATATATTGCACTCTATGGTATGGCTTGACAGTATCTGAACAAAGGTCTTAAGATCCCGGTTTGTGGTTAAATGGGCAGCAGCATTAATTGATAGTCTGAGCCACAGCTCTGTGTTTTATAGCAGGTTCATTATGCGGTGCAGCCCGAACGTCTAGATTGTGTAGTTCTTTTGTGTGGGCAGTAGTTGACGTTCTTGGCTTGTGCTTCCTAGCCGATGCTGGAACACGTGCGGATACATCCCGAGCTGGTGACTGGAACCAAGGACCATGAGCTGGACCCAACGAGGTAATGTGGTTCTCCCACCAGGCAGCCTGGCCTCCTGTCGGAAGAATTCAGCCTGCTTCAGCTTCTTGAAAGTCAATGGTGAGTGAGCTTCTGCCCCTTGAGGATCGTGCCTCTCTGTGTTGCAGGTGGAAAAGGTTTGAGGTCCATGACATCGTTATCGAATGTGCCAAAGTGTCCCTGGACCCAAAGGAGGCATCGTGTGAGGAAGGGTACTCCACCATGCCTGAGCACTTCTCCACGCACTTGCAGCACAGGCCCGCCGACTGCACTGCCAGCCCCTTCGCCGATCTCCACAGCAGCTACGGTCAGACATTGACTGATCTGTTCTGTAAGCGTTGGCCCGGGGGCCCACCGGGGCTGTGGAGGCTCTTGCGTGGTAGTTCAGTAGTTAGAGAAGAGCCAGTGATCTCATCCAGCCGTTTCGTCAAGGGAGCTAAGGTATCGGCTTCAACGGCATGGCTTGTTCCACACCCCCGCAGCCCTTTGTGTAAAGGCGAGCCTCCCTTTTCTTGTTTTTTAAAATGCACTTCCACGTATTTTCCACACCACTCCCAGCTGGTGTTTCAAATGTGTCTCTGAAGAAGCCCCCCTGCATTGATGTTTTCAGTGCTGGTGAGGATTTTTATCATTGGCATGAAGTCCCCTTTGGAGTTTACACTGTTCTAGACAAAAAAAAGAGGCTTCCTTTCTTCACTTCTGCCATGGGCTGTAGTTTTTTTTATTACGAAGTTTTCATTTTGCACTCGGCCTGTCGCTGGAATGTAAGCACGTAAACCTTTCCAAGTTGCAGGTTAGAAGTTTCTCAGTCCTTCGTTTCCTTGGCAGGCTCAAGGCGAACTGTGAATCGTACCCATACAATAGCTCCTGCTTCAGGTTCCCGCAAAGCCGTGTACGCCTGCCCCACTGTTTCCGATTCGGTGCGTTTCAGAGTCCTCTACCTGCTCCCTTTCTGCACACTTAGAGGGACTTGCCATGTGGCTGGCTCACTGGGCCCCAGAGGAGAACCTCGGGCGTCTGTATGCGCTGATGCGTGTCGGGTGTGAATCTCTGCGCTGTGCGTGTGTTTTTCCAGGGAGCTCGTCTTCGGCCTCTTTCTCCACCCCGCGCCAGGCCGCGCCCCCTCTCTCCGGGACCCAGCCTCCGTACCACAGCCCGCAGGTGTGCCGCCACCTGCCCGACGCCAGCCAGGTACCGTGTCAGCCTGCCAGTGCAGTTGGGCTGGGCCCTCGGTCTGGCCAGTGATTTTTATTGTATCCAGACCGGTGTTTTCCAGTCTTCGTGTCAATTTTGTCTTTATCTGATTTCCATTCTCACTCTTGATTTCTTTCCAATCTTTTCATTTCATTCTCTTCTGTGCTTTAAGAACAACTGGAAGGAAGCCCTTCTAGGTGTTGAGCCATAGTCCCACGTGTTGCGTGTTGTGACACCTCTTGATGCTTTTTTGCAACTTTGTGTCACTGACTTATCAGCAACGTTTTATACATAGTAATCGGGAAACATTTTGGACTTCTTTGCAGAAGCTTCTGAAAAACTGGAATCTTTAACGATCCTCTCAATAGTTTTTTTGCATAGTGTTGAATCAATAACCCTGTATTTATAATTGATTGTAGTGAAGAATAATAACACAAATTAAGAACGACCCCCCTGAAGACTGAGAGATTAATAGTTGTTTATACTGGGGTTCAGCAGATAAGGGATAATAGTACTTTTAACTGTTTATTATACAGCCTAGTGCTTCTGAAAGATAACTTTTTCGCTTGCATCTTGTAGACCATGAGCCTTCTGCAGCGCAGCTGCCAACCGTACAAGGCTAACGATGCGTGGATGAGTCTGTGTCCGACGTATGAATCAGCCCCTAGTTTTGAAAGGCAGGAAGGAGCTGCCTGTTACGAGTGGTTCTGACTCACCGTGTGTGTGGGTGTGTGCTTGATCGCATCTTTCAGAAGAGAGAATGCTTTCTAGAAGAGGAGCGCTCTAGCGTAGATCGGAGCTCTGAACTCTCCAATCCTACCATAGGTTGCCAGGCAATGAAAGGCTGCTGTCGTAGTGTTCAACCTAAAAAAAAAGGATTTATTTTCTACTCCATCTCCTATCATATTAATGCACAGAATTGCTTAGCTGCATGTGCTGATTCTCCTAAAACACAGTGGAAACGGAAAATGTATTTTTTAAAGCTCCGTTTCTATCCTCGTTCTCTGTCCTAATCTTTGAGTACCGAGCTTGACGCGAGTCGCAGTTTAACGGTGAATTCCTCCGGTGTGTTGAAGGATCCTTTCTGGAGCCCCTCCTCAGTGTGCGGAATGACCACGCCGCCATCCTCCCGGGGAATCTCGCCCACCAACGCCCCCCCGGAGCTATCCCACAGTGCCTCTCACCTCACCAGCCGGGCGCAGGCCCCCGCAGGTGGGCACGTGGTTCAGGATGTAAGGAGCAGGGTGCATGTTGTATATGAGCGCCCTGCTTCATCATCTGAAATCTTTTTATCCAGTTTTGATTTTAATCGTTTGCCACCCCCCCCATATGTATCACTAATGTAAGTTGTCAGCCCTCTGAGCAAGATTTACATACTGCATCTAAATTAACACGCTGCATTGCTGTCCCAGACACTGTACTTTGATTTTATCCAGCCATTGGTTTTTAGAATCCTGGTGAGCATCAGGCCGGATACACCCTGAACAGGAGGGCAGTCCATCACAGGGCACACACAGACACTGATATATTCACTCACACCAGGGCCAATTTTCCCAGAAGCCAATTAACCTCTCCGCATGTCTTTGGACTGTGGGAGGAAACCGGAGCACCCGAGGGAAACTCACACAAACGCAGGAAGGACCTACAAACTCCACACAGACAGCAGCCAAAGTCCAGAACTGAACCCCAGCGCTGTGAGGCAGCATTGCTAACCACTTAGATGTTGTCTGATTTGAAAAATCCTAAAAAATGATAAAAGATGTAAGTGACTGAGGAAACAGGAGACCAGTTCTGCCCAGGGCCAGAGACTGCAGATCTTTTTTTTTGCTCTGTCCTTGTTTAGCAGCTGGTGGGAAGGGGACGCCGTCCACCACCCCTGCCACCTGCTCCCCACCCCCTGCCCTCTGCGATGATTGTGTGCACGTGGCCCCGCCCTCCCATGCTGCCAGCCCCCCACAGAAGGTAAAGCACTTCATGCATCTTCTGTCTCTTATAGAGCACGTAGGCCTGCCGATTATGGCTGCTCATGTCTAGTGTGTGGTAGTATACAACGTTTTAGCAGGGTGCATTGTCGGTTTGATATATCTTAAGTCTTCTAAGAGTGGACACTTGATATTTCTTTTAGGGTTTTCATTGCAGAATTGGCACATTGGTGTTAAACGGCTTTCATGCTTTGCCGACGTTGGCTTTTATGGCCGTTTTTGATTTCCTTAGTGGCGCTGAGCTGCAGCTCAGGGTTGTGTGCTGAGCTCGCCTGCTCCGTGGGATAGTGTGGGTAATCGGAGGGTTTGTCCACAGGATGGTAAACCGGAAGCATCGAAGCCTGGGCTGGTGAGGCAGGCGCCGGTCCGGGAGTCCGAGAAAGAAGGCGCGGATGTTGCCAATAGCCAAGGTCAGTGGGATCTCGATGATTGTTCTCCGCCGAAAAAGGTGTTGACTGATTTTTTCTTTGTGCTGAGTCTTGGACCCGATTTTATTTTGTTTTGATCACCAAAGTATTCAGTGTACATAAAGTAAGTCCCTTTTACAGGATTACACTGAGGGCGTTGGCCGTTCAAGGTGTTTTACTGTGAAAAGTGTGATGGACACATTGAGCAATTCCTGGGTTTCCGTTTCCTTTGGGTAAACTTGTATGAATAGTCAATTTCACTGCTCCACTGTGCACATTTTTCACCATCTATACTTGTCAGCTAACTTTCTAAGCGCCTTGTGTGATCTGTGCTTAAGCTCAGTTGGTCTTGAAGGAAACCGAGTTCATGTTTTCTAATTCTCTCGGGAGTGTTGTGCGGCCCAGTTTGTTTTGGGGTGGTCTTCTGGCCTGCGTGGTGCGGGCAGCGACTGACGGGGGCCATGAGCGCTGACGTCCTGCCTGTTGTCGTTGCGCGCAGACGCCGGGGGCGAGAACGCGATGACCGTCACACTAACGGAGCTGCCTGGGCTCATCAAGCAGCTGGAGCAGCAGGAGAGGATGGAGAAGGAGCGAGATGAAGGTGGGTTTCGCCCAGTTCTGCTGCCCTCTGCACCGAGTGCAGTTTGTATCCTCCTGCACAGCAGCACATCTCTCGCCAGTGTGGGTCTGGCTGATATGAGTTTCTTTCAGCATTTCGAAGGATAAAATTGTTCCCTGCATATAAAATGGTTTAAGAAATGGCCTACACCAAAATCTCCTGTCTGCATTTTTTTTTTGTTGATATGTAAATGATTTAATGATCATGTAGAAGCTTGTTAGAACATCTAGTAATACATATTTGTACAACCACTTCAAAACTTTCATTTGACTAAAAACCTTTTCTGTTATGGTAAAGATCTTTAAATGTTCCGTAATAGAATGGTTCTTATTCCTGCTTGATGTATATTCATCTGCATTTAGAAATGCACTTCAGCCTCAAGGAGAAATGCAAAATAATTTAGAAAAATATAATTTTATTTCTAAAAAAAACTAAAAGAATTCAGCGCCTTAAAACGGCTTGCTCGCTTAAATCTCTAAACTAAAGAAAAGAGCATTTTTACATTCTGAGAAAGTGGAATTTGCATCTGTTTGTTTTTAAGCCATTTAGACCAATCATGTTGGCTTGCGCATTCTCTGCCTGGTTGTGTCAATGATGTGCTGCTACATAAACCTTATGATCCCAGCATAAAGACCCAATACATTTCCAGTTTGGTTAAAAAAAGATTTCCCAAGTATTTAGATAGATGCTTTATTGATCCCGTGAGGGAAATTGCAGTGCAACAGCAGCTTAGCACAGTCAGTACAGCACATTTGTGATTAGGAACTTCTCTGTTTTCTCCAGGGTTGTGTGCTATAGGGTAACAATGCATTTTGTTGTTTTTGGCTGTAATGGGGATGAGCTTTTTCTGCTAGAAGATGCTCGTCAACAATGCCATGCATTGAGAGGGTGGCTTGGGAGATGGATTACTGTTGGCCGTGCAGCACAAGTGGGACGATTTGCTCCCTCTCTGCCTTCCTGACGCTCCCCTCGCTCCCTTGTCGCCTTCCAGACGCTATCGCGGAGGAGCTCTTGAATATCGCCGCGGACGAGCGAGAGGCCTCGGGCCCCCGCGGGGGGTTCGACTCCCCTTTCTATCGCACCACCGAGACCCTGACGGGGAGCCAGAAGAAGGCCCTGCCCCTGGCCCCCAGCTGCAGCCTGAGCTCCGACCCCCACAACGCCGTGTCCACCCCTGACAGAGCGGGGCCGCGGGGGGGCAGGGTTCCCTACGGGCTGGAGCAGCCCTGCGGCTTCCAGGCCGTGTTCACCCCCATCGACCACGCCGCGCGGGGGCAGCCCCCCAGGAGCCCCTCCGCCCCCGCGCCGGGGGAGGCCCCCGGCAAGTACGGCCTGCTGTCGCCCAGCCCTTACAAGCTCCAGCCCCTGCCCTACGAGAGCCTGTTCGACCTGGCGCTGCCCAAGGCCGCCTCGCTGTTCGTGGGCAAGAAGACGGCGGAGGCGGCGTGGAGGGCCGGGGCTGAGGGGCTGGGGGACGAGGACGTGGGGGAGGGCGCCGCGTCCACGACGTCCCCGCTGGAGGTGCTGGACCGCCTCATACAGCAGGGCAGCGACGCGCACGACGAGGTGCTCAAGAGGTGAGTGCCCCCCGCGCCCCGCGCCCCCGGCGCCCTGCTGGGCGCTGTGTCCTTGTGTCCGTTGGAAGGGAGATGCGTTTAGGCCGGCTGCTGTCCAGAAAACCAGATCGTTTGTGATCATGCAGCACGTGCCGTCAAATTAAGTACCGGTGTTTTTGCAGCTTTCTTTTTTTTTTTTAAAGCTTGACACTCCCAGTGTGCCGTCTTCATCGGATTTATTTTTCCCGTCGCTGGCAAAGTTGCACATAGGTTTTAGCGCTGGGAAGAGCTGTCAAAGGGCACCGGAAGTGTAGCGCTTAAAAGCCCTCTGCGCGGTTTTGATTGGGGTTTGTGACATGCTTGCTTGGATCGCTCGGAATCTGGATCTGCTGCCCCCATTGTGTGCTGACTCCCACGCTGCCAGGAAACAGCAACTGGAGGTTTTGCGGAATAATGTACCTTTGCCTTTTGATTTAGGAAAGCCAAGAGGCTGTGTGGCATTCTCAGGAGCTGATATAGCGTTCCTTAGCTAGCTGAGTGTAAAGGATTCTATACAAGAGTTAAATTGTATGAATGTTCCCTCCTCCCTGCTCCCTCCTTAACCGGTTGTCTGTTTTGCTACAGGCTACCTTTGCCAACGAAGTCGGCTGACTGGACGCACTTTGGAGGTAAACAACAGGGTATTAAAACAAAAGGTATTACAAAATCAGTGAAAGATTAATTCTAGGTTTAAACCCGAGCAGTGCAGGAATTTTGAGAGTTCCATTATTTCTAGATGTGGATCCCATTACAGATGTAATTGGTTGAACACCTTTGAAAATGAATGTGGTTATTCTGTTTGAATCTGAATCTGTTTCTAATCAGCATTTAATGAATGATTTATATATTGAGCTAAATATTAAAAGGAACATTTAAGCCCATAACTGAGCAAACTCTAGAGTTTTAAACTCACTGTTTTCCCTGACTACTTGTACTCTGGAGAAGATGCCACCATCTCTTGTGAATTCACATTTTATGTCCTCATGTCCTTGCAAAGTACAGTAAAATCTGTTTTTTTTACAGAATGGGTTGGGCTTCAAGTTAATTCTGTAATAAAACCATTTTCAATAAAAACAGTATTGTGTATTTCACCACATCTCTAAGAGTGAAAATGCACAGAAAGATATTAATAACATTGGAAACAAACGTGCAGGTCTTCATTAACAAATACTTAGCCTCCTGGATATGATTGTGTAATTCCAGTAATACATTTTCTACATTCTTGGGGCAGGACAGAAAATATTCAACAGCTATAGTTGAAGGTGGAATTAGATCACAGGACCATGCACCAAAACGCAGAAGAATCGGCAAACGATTAAGTCATTTCTGAGAGGGGATGCTCAGTCCTACAAAGTCCCGAGAATAAGCTATATTCTTCACCGAGTTTGCCCTCTGCTTCAACTGCGTCCGAACGGAGCAGTATTTCCCTTCCCTTGCGAGTTGCCAGCAGAACTAGTTTCTTGGCAGTAGGCAATGATGAGGATGTAAAATTTGGAGGCCATGGGACATTAATGCTAATTACCGAACAGTGTGTGTTTGAGTGCTTTCATGTGGCTGGGGGTGGGGATCAGCCAGTGCCACAGCATGTGTAACAGTGTACAACTCACTCGCTTCTGTTCTGTGAAACTGGCGTGTCCGGCGAAATGATACTGCAGGAATTTGGGATTTAACTGTACTGCTTGGCTGGTTACAAAGTGTTGTTTTTGGTGTGGGGACCCCATTTATGTGATGGGGGGAAATGCATAAAACAAGTGCGTTTGAGAATATTCATAACTGGGGAATCTCCCATTGTTTAACTTCCTCCAGTCCTGTCTTCCATTGATGGTGGGGGGGGGGGATAAAACCGGTAGCGGGGGTCTCTCCTCTGAAGAGCTCGCTGTCCTTCCCCCCCCCCTGCAGGCTCGGCGCCGCTGGACGAGCTGCACACCCTGCGCAGCCAGCTGCTCCTGCTGCACAACCAGCTGCTGTACGAGCGCTACAAGAGGGAGCAGCACGCCATCCGCAACCGGCGCCTGCTGCGGCGCATCATCAACGCCACCGCGCTGGAGGAGCAGAACACCGCCATGGTAACGCCCCGCCCCCCCCCGCGCCGGCGGTCCGCAGGCAGCGCGGTTTCGGCGTTTGACACGCACACGCACACTCCTGCTTTTCTGTACCCGTGCGTGGCCCGCTACAGGAAAACGAAAGAAAATACCCCATGTCCAAAAAGGGCCTTTATACAGACTGTGCACTGTGTGTAATGTCTGCTGATGTCGTGCTGGTCATCTGATGTGTAATGAACATCCCTGACTGCCTGCTGCAGGGCCTCGGCCAGATTCTGTGCAAACGTTTTGTGTGGGGGGGGAGGAAAAAAAGCTCCTAGGCGTAATATCACGTGATCGCAAGCTCATACATCTTTGTTGTCAAGGGCTGGCCCTGCACAGCTGCAAAGCAATGGAATTAGCGCGTCAGGTCCGGCCGCAACGCTCCGTTTCTCAGCGGGCAGTGGAGAGGGCCACCGCGCCATGCCCCTTGAGCGCTGCCTGTGGGTTAGGTGTCATTTGCAGGCCAGGGAGGAAGATCTCGGGGGGGTGGGGAATGAATCCAGCTGATCGTTTTAGAGTTGTTTTTTGTCTCTTCAAGAAATTCCCACAGAATTAAACATTTGGGCACTCCCCAACTGTAATTACTCAAGAGTTTCCTGTATAAAAGCATAGTCTAGCTATTTAATGGTATGTTTCATTATTCATACTGATTTTTGCAGAGTGTTAATTTGTGCGCTAACTTTGGCAGAGCGGTCGACAGCTTTCAGCTCATTCTTTTGAATGTTGTACAGTAAGCAAGCGTGACATGGAGCGTGTTTGATAACGTATCCCAAAGGCGACTTACGCCTCCATCCTTCTCCAACCGCTGCAGAAGGACCAGCTGAGCCTGCAGGAGGTGGACATCCAGTGCCTGAAGGACAGCCTGCAGAAGGAGCAGAGCAAGTACCAGCGGCTCCTGGAGGACCGGGAGACCGCGGTGACGCGGCTGAGCGGCCAGATCAGGCAGCTGCAGCAGGGATGCAGCGAGTACCACACCAAGAACCAGGAGCTGCAGGTTCGAGCCGGGGGCCTGGGCGCACGTAGCTCGGGGCTTGGAGTGGATTTAAGAGTACTGGCAAAACTCTTGAGAAAATATGTTTGAGATCAGTGGAAGAAACCAGAAGGTCTTTCTGAGACCAGTGCACTGGTGCCGTTTTATAGCCTCAAGATTAATGTGCGTTTGTTCTCTCCGGGGTCTCGGCGCTTGTTCCAGAGTAAACTGCAGGAGTGCCAGAAGAAGGTGGGGGAGCTGGAGGCAGAACTGCAAAAGGCCAACAACAAAGTCTGCAACACGGGACACCTGCTTAACCAGCTCTCCGTCAAGGTACAGGCCCTCTTGTGTGGATCCTGAAGGTCCTAAAGGAGATAATTTGGTGATCTTTGTTACAGGAGGAGTGGGGATTGAAAAACGGATCACGTGAGATGGCTCTAAAGATTCACCCATGGAAACAAATAATGTAACCCTCTGTACTTGAGGTGCCGATTTGACATTAGATAAGATTTAAACTCAGCTGATGTGTTGTGTGGCAACTTTGATGAATATAAATGACAAGTTCTTTTATAACAGTTTTTACCTTTCTCATTTTGAGGGTTTGGCACAGAGATCGTTTTGGGTTTTTTTTTTCCTATGCAGGTGGAATAAAGAATGAGTCCAGATTTGACTCTCTCTTTTCTGTGTTTTCAGCTCAACAATAGCGAAACCATCCAGGGGCAGATGGAGTTTCTTAACAAACAGCTGCTGCTGGTGGGCGAGGTCAACAAGCTGGCCATGGAGGAGCTGCAGCACTCCAGCCCCGACCCCAGCAAGGTAGGGGCGCACCTCTCGGCAGCCGGCATCTTGTCGGATCGGTAGAGGCAGCCGGGGTAACGTTAGCCACCAAGAATCGCATGAGCCGAGTAAGGTGCCCAAGCCTGCAAAGGCAGCTGGGGTCTGACTGCACTGAAAATTGCTTGCTTTTTGCACCTCTCTCACCTGGGTCCAAAATCTGGCGAGGATGAGCTGTGTTCAGGTTTTCACACTCGGGTCTAGCCTAAAGTTTGATTCTAGCTATCTGGCATGTATTTAAATCCCCCCCCCGCGTAGTCTTAAGCACAGTCGACACAGTAGGCAGCGCGGGCTTGTGATCCCCCTCCTCTTGTGCGTGTGTGCTGTGTGCCAGGAGGTGGACATGATACGGGCCTCCTACGGGAAGGAGCTGGAGAGACTCCGGCAGAGCCTGGTGCAGCAGGGCCAGAGGCTGGAGGCCGCCCAGTACCGCATCGGGGAGCTCGAGTCCCAGCTCACCAAGAAGGAGCACCTCATCGTGGAGCAGAAGAAATTCCTGGAGGACGTCAAGAGCCAGGCCAAGTAGGGGCACAGCCCGCACCGAGAGCGGTCTTCTTGTCACTCTAAAGACGTTGGTGCAGTGGCGTCCTACCGAAAATGCTTTGATACCCATAGGGCTGGGAATTTAGAGTAACGGTGTTAAACATCTCCTTACCTGGAGCAGTCGTACTCCTGGTGACCCACACGCCTGCTGGTCTTCATTCCAGTCCCACCTTCGTTGGATAACTGAAGCCTTACTTGATCGAAGAAGTTGCTTGAATTGAATTTTTGCGTTTTGTTCCTAGTTGCAGGTTTGGGATTTTTTTTTTTACATTTTAAAGAATGCAAAGGTTAAAGCTCCAACACGCTGAAGAGCTGGGAGCAAACAGTCTAAACGAGTGTGATTGTTATAGTGAGGGGCTCGACAGCAGGTGTGTGTAAGTCACCAGGGCCGGGGCTGGGACCCACTGCTCTAGAATGAGGGCTGTCGTGCGCACTTGTGAAGTGTATAGGGTGTAATGTAATAAAAAGCAAAGTTTATTGTAGCTTCATTGGATTTTGGCAGCAAAACTGTATTCCTGTACGATAATAAGTAAGTAATAAGTTATTCCATGCTGAAAAGAAAGAAAATGCAACGTTTCGGCTGTGGAACCTTCTTTGGGTGTCCTGTATGATAGCCTGAACTTATGGTGAGGGATATGGAATAGTTAGTAAACCTATTTATAACACCGTTAGTCACCAATTAGTAGTTAAAATGCGTTGACCTGACGTGTGACTGATGTTTGCAAGGGCTGAGCTGAGTTGCCTGGTGTGTGTGCAGGGGGGAGCTGCAGGCGTCCCAGAGCAGGTACCAGGCCCAGCGGCAGGTCACGCAGGCGCTGCAGACGGAGCTGCTCGAGCTGTACAGCCGCCTGGAGAAGGAGGACGCTGTCGCGGGTGCCGGTGCAGCAGCGGCGGCAGCAGGGGGCGCCACTGAGCCGTGCAAGCCCACCGACTCCAGGTAGGGGGGCCGCTGGAAACGCAAACGCTGGAGCACCTTTCGCTGCCGAGCGCCAGAGCACTTCGCAGACCGGGGCTCGAGCTACGCTTCGGGACCCAATTCACCCTGGCCACGATCTGCTTTCACACCTGGGTTCTGGTAGGAGGTATCGCAGTGTCGGAGCACTGACCAGTAGATTCAGAAACAGTTTCTTCCCCCAAGCAGTCCGCATCTGCAGCTCAAATTAGCACCTGCACTTTAAGGTACTGCACTATTTGCACTTTGTCCTGTCTTGGCTGTATTATAATGTCTAGTATCTAAATTAATTGAATAGTCAAGACCTGGAGTTTCAGTGTGAAAGCTTTGCAATGTCTTAACGGTAGCTGGTTACTTTAAGGCAGTACTTTCTGGTGCACCGTGGCACAAATGTAGCAGAGTACACAGCTCTGACACCACATCTTGACTTGTGCTTCTGGTACTTTTAGTGCCAGAATGGACATTTCACCCTTATTTTCTAAAGGCATAATAAACAAACAACAGGAAATGCAAATCTGGCAAATAACACCATTGACAGTTGAAAGGAAATCAGTATTTTACGTCCAGTTTTATGTCCAGTTTTCCTTGTGATTTTCCTACTGATATGTTTGTTGAGTCTAAAGACGCTGTGCAGAAGAACCGAGCGTTGAAGTCGGCGTGACGCTGCGTGCTCCGTGTCGAGTCCTTGTTCGCGCTGTAAAGGAGAGATTGGCACACACTGCTCTGCTTTAGGCCAAAATCGCTGTCGCCCGTAGCAAAGCGGAAACGTGCCCTGCATGTGTCGGATTGGGCAGCACGGTGGCGCGGTAGCGGACATTGATTTGCGTGCTGACGCCCGTGCTTCCTTGTTTCCTGTCGTAGGACGGACGGCGCCAGCTCGGGGTCACCAAGGCAGGCGGCCCCCCGTGACCGTACGGGCAGCCAGACTGACTGCCCAAAGGGCAACGGCAGCACTTTATCGCCCGGCCAGCCCCCGCCTTCCCTGCCGGCAGGGCACGGCGGCTCCGTGAACGGCAGCCGTGACCCCCCCCTGGTCCTGCTGGAGCCCCCGCCCGCGCCCGGCCACGCCCCGCTCACGGTGGGCTCCTACCCCACCGCCAAGAGCTTCCTGGGCATGCGGGCCCGCGAGCTGTTCCGCAACAAGAGCGAGAGCCAGTGCGACGAGGAGCCCCCCCGCCTGGCGGGCCTGTCCCAGGCGCTCAAGACTGAGCAGTGCGTGGAGCCCGCGGGCGCCGCGCCCCCCCCCGAGCCGCCCCGCCCGCCGGAGGGCAGCGGCGCGCAGCAGAGGCAGCAGCAGCTGCGGATCATGGACTATAACGAAGCGCATCATGAGCACAGCTAAGGAGCTCGGGAGGAGAGAGGAAACAAAAAAAGCAAAGCCCAGTGTTATTATTCTCATTCCTCGAGTGGACAGCAGGATTTGAGCCTCCACTTCAGATTGATTTCCTCGGCTCCTCTCGTTTTGTTGTTTCCCCTACAGCCGCTCGCCAGTCCGCTTGCTGCACTTTGCCCTCCTCCTCGGCGAGGTGGCCAATCTGAGGTCAGGGCTGCCGGGGGGCGGGGGATTGTGGGGCTGGGTTTCTTCTTCGTTTTTTTTTTTTAAAAGACGGCTTCTCAGTCCAGCGTCGAGGGTAAGGGCGCAGGGCAGCTGCCGGTCAAGGTGAGAAGGAACTCTGCACGTTTGGCTGTCGTTTAAAAAAAAGTATTATAAGCGAGGAAGAAAAAAGTCAATCCTTGGACAGAGGCGTCCAGCGATGAAATGTTTCAACGTTCTGGGCGCTGGAGCAGTGTGCCGCGAGCCTGTTGATCTCTTGGGCGACGGCAAGCAAGACCAGATCTGGGCTGCGTGTTTTTCAAGATGCCTACTTCCAGGCTTGCAGCAGGGTTTGACTGCAGTTTCCTCCAGCCAGCCAGGTGCGGTGACAGCTGTCGGGGTGACTGCAGGGTCCCTGCTCCCCCTCGGTCCCGGAGCTCGTGCCGCTCTGTCGGTCCGGGGCTGGTTCCTTCCCGGAAGACCCAGGAGGGGGAGTGGAGATCCGGTAGTTTGGCGGTTTGTAAAGTTATAATTACGCAAATCCACAGTGGCACCAGGTGATGTGGTCAAGTAAAGCAAAATTCCGAAGCTCCCGAAACCAAGCAGAAGTTATGTTTTTTTTTTCCTTATTCTGCCTCGCTTTATCTGCATATTTTAACATGAACGTTAGTTTTTCCCCTACCTTCTTTATGGGTTAATCTTTCACCTCATCATTCATACTTCATTCTAGTCTGACCATACAGTCAGGCTGATGTATAACCCGGTATTCCAGTCGAATAAAATGTGGCTTGGCTCTTTTTTTAAGCAGGTTTTAAGGTTAACCAGGTAGAATACATTATGGATGGACCCGAGTTGGCAGGACCGGGAATAACAAAAGGACCAATATTTTTATAAATATTGGTAAGAGCATCTATTGAACTTGGCGGCACGACCTTTTAACATGGACTGAAGGCTGTACCTAGAATAGCATAACATTTTTGGTCATTTTTCAAAATATTCTGCTCTTATTCTTTCAGTGCTACTTTACTAACGCGCATCACCTTAAGAGTTCATTTCAAATGTGAATTTAAAATGAAATTTTGTGTAAAGTTTGTCTCCACGTCTTCAACACGACGAAAGTTATGCATGTTCTTTTTTTTTAAATTGCGCAATTTAATGAAGATTATGGAATAACCAGAAAAATCAGTTTAAACTCGTATACTAATGAAATTTATTAATTTATTCACAAGTTTTAATTATCAGGTGTTCTCCTATGAGGGGGGGAATTTTTAAAATAATGACCCCCCCCTCTGTTCAAATCCTAGAAAACAAACTAGAAATGTTGATATTACAGTTATTTGATTCATTACTTAGAAGGAATCTCTTCCTCTTTACACTTCAGCCTGCACTTAACTGACCATTGTAAGCCATTTCCACAGACACCTCACTGGTCAAATCTCCCGTTGTTACTTAATTATGGTTTTAAATCCAGTGGGAAAGATCTAGCAGTTTTTCCAGATTTCTTATGATGCGACCATTATAGATGGAAATGCCCACAAAGTTTTAGCGGGATTAGGGATGTACTGGGGTTTTTTTTCTGGATCTGTTCCAAGGAAATATGGTTTTATTTTGTTAACCTGTGCCGTGAGTCTTGGAATTTATAAGCTAATAAGTACAGATGCACCTGTCACTGTTTGTATGCACTTTTGGATGGACATGAGGAGGGTGAACTACAACTACGATCTTGATGGTCACTAAAAAGCTAAATGAGCATAAACGGTAGCCATTCAGCAGTACTCTTGCTCGTAGGATGCTGCTGTCTTTCACCTGGGAGTTCTTCTGGGTGCAACAACTTTAACACTACCCTTTTTAACTTTACATATGGCATATGGCCCTGGGCCATCTCCACTGTGAAACTTCACCAGTACCATCTCCATACCCCACAGCTTCGGCATCTGTAGGAAAAATGTTGTTTCGTACTTTTCCGTCACGTTGAGCCAGTGTCGATTTGCCACAAGACCTTGATATTTGGGATTCAATGTCAAGCGTCGAATCTTTTGAGACCCTTTTTATGTTCTGACGGCAGGGTTTTCTACGGTGCCACTGTAACCTGAGTGTGCAGCTGGTATAAGAAGGAAGAGGTGCCTTTTCTGCTGTGTCAGCGTTTTAAAACACTCCCAGAAGGAGTGTTGTAGAGAAGGAAAGGCCAAAGTTACATTCGGGATGATGATGATAAAATCGTACTTGGTTATACTGTGGAAAAACAAAGGTTTTAGGCCTGGTGCCACTGTCTGCAGCCCCTACCTGATAAACTTGGCCATTCCCTGCAGTTAGTATCTGGTTGCAAGACAGTGCTACACTGGGACTGAACATTAGGGTGGTAATATTTAGCAATTGCTGGGAACAAAAATCTGTTTGGAAATAGAAAAAAATGTTTTTGTTCCACTTGATTTTTTTTTTTTAACTGAAAAAGCTCTAGCTTAGAAGTTTCTGTGGTAAGTCCAAAACCGTTCGGAAGCTGTCATTGTTTTCTTTCTCTCTGATACTGGATCTGGAAGTGTTAAAGGATGGTATTCATGTCTGATGCTATTTGGAGAAGCAGTTATGTGTTACATAATCGGTGAATACTGTTGTTCTTTAATACAAATCCTGTTGTCCGCTGAACGTTTCTGCTGTTATCCAGTCTGCCTTGCTATCCTAAGCATGTACAACAATCCACTTTAAATGCCAATAATAGGAAATACGACGTACAAAGAGACTCTATAGTATGGTACAATCTGAGCGAGACTGAAAGGGTGGAATCAAGAGGGACTTCTTTTTGAAAAGAATGTTGTGAAAACGGAAAAAGTACTTAAAAGCAGTTGCTCGTGTTTAACTGTGAACAAAAAAATGAATAAAAATAAACTTGTCTTCAATGTTTTGCACTACAGATTTCAGAGCTTGTTTTCCATTATTTTTCTTACATGACCTTATTTCATTCACAGCATTGTCTTTCTGCCCTTGTTTGAAGCATGTTTAATATACAGGTTTCCAAAAGCACTGTCTGGGTTAACAAAATTGTGTTTCGAGAGGCTTTGACATTGTCATTTTCTGGTTGTTGCTTGCAGCTGCTGTTGTACAGGTGAGTATGGTTTTATTTTGAACTTAAAAGGACGTGGAATGTGCTGAGCTTTTTACTCCATTGTGTTTTATATCTGTATAATTGATGCACAGGACTTGGCAACCTAGATTCTTTATGTCTAAGAGTTTTTTTTATTGATGTTGAATGCAACTTGATTGTGTTCCAGTGAAAAATGTTGTAGGATTTAGATGGATTCCAGGAATGCGTCAGCACAACAGTATACAGTCAATGTTTTATTTTTTCTCTTTATTGGATTTTGAATAATATGAACATGTGATGATTCAAAATGCTTCAGTTTTAATCTTGCCAAAATTCTTCATAGCTGCATCATGTGAGACATACAACAGCATGCATTTTAGACGTCAGTAGGTTTTGCATGGTAGGAATTTTAAATATATAAGGTGATGTGTTGCCTGATAGCATTTCTTGATGGAGCAAAGGCTCAGAAAACTATCTTCTTTCTGTTTTTGAACTGTGAGAAGTGCATTAATACCATCGACAAAGTGGCAGCTGGCAAAGTGGAGTCAGATTCTTGCCAAAATTAGTGCAGCATCCAATAGCAAATTGTGCGTTTAACCTCGTTTTCACCAGTTTAATTACTAGAAGAGTATGATCAAGATAATGTGCCAAACTCTGTCAAGATACAGTTGTTGGGGAAAAATCGCAGGGTTCTTCTAATCTAATTCTCGCCTCCCCTGATCAGCTCTGCCGTATGGCTATATTGATCATGAGGTGTTGCAAACCTACCCCTGTGTAGTAAAGTCCACTCAGATTCCTAAGAAACCAAAAAAGAGAGAGGAGTAACAATTTGGGCTTAATTAACATCTTTTTCTTTTAACTCTTGCGCTTGTCTAATCAAAAATCTGGAGAGAGATGCTCTTTGGCGTGCTTGAACGGGTGCATTTTTACTTTTCACAGAGCAGAGAAGGAATCGGCTGGAGTGGCAACACTGTCGCGGGTGGGGGGGGGGGGAGAAAGATCAGAATTTACTGGTGTGGCCGGGAGGTCTCCAGGCTGGCTTGCCGGTGTGCCAGCCCCCCTGTCCTTTGGTGGGGGAGTAGTGGAGCTGCTCCATGGCGTTGCCGGCCCGCTTGGTCTGAGTGCCCACGGCCGTGATGGCAGGGCTCTCCTTGGCGCTGCTGCTCTGCTGCTCTGTGCCGGGCTGCGCGCCCTGGAGGGACGGCGGCCCGGTCCTCTTCGGGGCCTTGTGAGCTGGGCCGGCACCGGACACGCACTGCCAGGCCAGGTCCGTGGCCATCGGGATCAGGCTCACCACTCCTCCGTAGTAATTCCTGGCCTCGTCGCAGCTCAGGTGGTTCACCTCATCGTGGGGGTACCTGGGAGAGGTCACAGAGAGGTCATTCCTCCCCCATGCACACCCCGCGTGGTGTTGGACCTCGGCGAGATTCCTGTTTGTGATCAGCACGAGCGGCAGCCTCTCGAGGCGGTTTTTTTTTTCCGTCAGACCCTCTTCGTTTTAAGGTTACGATGAGGGTAACGTGCGGGAGTGGGTGGTGAAAGGGTCTTCTGAACAGCGCGTGTGTGAGCAGATGGCAAATTTAAAAAGAGGTTTAAAGTGGAACTGCAGTTTCCCAGTTTCTCAGACCAGTTATTCAATTTTGGTAACAAAAGAAATTCATTGGTCGCTACAGAAAAATATTAGAAATTTCGAATTAAAGCGCAAGATCGTGAATGACGTGGAAGTGGCCATGCTGTCACAAACCTCGGGTCTCGCCATGGGCAAGAGCAAGAGTTCGCGTGAATTGCAGCGTGATGCGGCCCTTCCTGCTCAGTAGTCGCTGTAATGATTAATGCAAGGTGACGTTCAAGCAAGTAAACACAGGTTGTGCAGCAGACATTTCACCACAGAAATGTTCCAGCCTTGTTAAATGTTCCAGTTAACACGCAGTATTTGTTGGCAAAACTGTCTCGAAGTCGAGAACAACATCTCTACTGGATTAAAGGAGATGTCTTCACAAGCCTGCTGGTGCAAAATGTAATAGGGCCGCATCACATTGCCAGAAGTGACCTCGTTCTGAATCGCAGGACATGGTGCTGTGCACACCTGGAACTCGTGTCTAGTTTGTGATGTAAATTGGCGGTTTTACAAGTTACTGTGCACATTTTACTTTTATTGTGGTTTGAAATGCCCTCAATCAGTGCTGATTCTTTCTAACCCCGAAATAAAAAGGTAGCCTTGCAGTTTCAGTTTAAAGGAGGAAGTATAGATGGAGATTGAACTTTGTCACTGTTCTTAAACTTCAGCTTCTTTCTTGTTTTTTTTTGTTTTGTTTTGGTTGGGAGTTATCCAAAAGTGAAATGTTGTGTCTTCACAGGTTTTAGATGGTAGGGGGGGGCACCAGGAGAACTCACTTGGCCCGCAGTGCGCTGAGGTCGCTCGTGGGGCAGAGCAAGGCCTTGCAGGCCTCCAGGCTCTCGTCGGGAGGCCTGTTCTCAGGCGCCAGGCCCTCCAGGAGCTGCGCCGCGCCGCGCAGGTCTGCCACGATCTCCAGGAAGAGGGAGAGGATGCGACGGTCGGTGGCGTTATTACAGTGATTGTCCAGATAGCGCTGAACCTGTACACCAGGCACAAGTCAAGTTGTTAGCTGCTGCACAATAGAAATGGGAGCATCTGCTATCCGGTGAGCTCCCACAGACGTAGTGTTTGAAATTGTTAAAAGAAGGAGCAGTTAGAAACAATTATGACAAAAGGTCTACCTTGGAATGATTCTACTTGATCTCATTTCTTAATTCT